ACAGTAACCACCCCAGTGTCCATAAACAGAGCTGTGTCAAGACTCTGCTTAAATGAGCGATAACTCACTGCAACACCCCGGAGCTGCGCAAAAATGAAAACGAACACCTATACAGAGTCTTTGGAAACAATGATTATCCTAACAGCTTCATCCACCAATGCCTGGCTAACAAACAACATGAAGAAGACACTGCACACCCCAAACACACTGGAGACCCCACCCTATGTTAGACATACATCAGAACTGACTACAAGACTCCCAAAACCTCTTGGAATAATGATAGCACACAAACCAACAGCCACACTTCGCCAGTTACTCTCAAAGACGAGAGACCCCATACCCACAATGAGAAGGACAAATGTGATATATAAAATACCATGCAGCAACTGCGAGAAACACTACACAGGACAGATGGCCAGGATACATGAACACCAACTTGCAGCAAAACGGCACAACTAACTCTCCCTCGTTTCAATACACTTTAATATAGAAGGACATCAGTTTGACTGGGACAAAGTTACAGTACTAGGACAAGCAAGACAAAGACAAGCATGAGAATTCCTGAAGGCCTGGTTTTCAACCATTGGTGCAATAAACAAACGTGTTGAAATAGACCCCATGTACATACCACTATGGTACAAAACCAGAAACAAGACTGACCACCATGACAGACCGGCCCATACAAAGTCAGAGCAGGACAGAACGACAGTGCTTCAACGGAGGCCACACAGCACTGATGATGTCACCTAGAAGGGAGACAAAATGTTTGCATGAAAACTGGTCAGCTCAGCGAACCAACCAACAACTCAAACCTCAACCCGAACTACAGATCTTCGTTAAAACATTATTCAACCAATGAAAAAGCATTATTGAGTTTGGTAATGGCCTTACAATATTTTAATGTTTATGTTGTAAACAATGCATCAGAGACGACTGTGTATACCGATCACGATGCTTTGACGTTTCTGAAAAGATTTAAGGACAAGAGCACCAGATTATTTCATTGGAATCTTATGTTACAAGCATTTAATTTACAGATTGTACATGTTGTGAGTTGTGAAAATATTATTGCAGATGCTTGATTATGAGTTTAAAAGAAAAATATTTATTTAAGATAGAAACGGTAGTGTTCAATATATAGAATTAATATAAAATATGTAACTCTAGATTAACTAGATATGGATCTCATAATGAAGGAAAGGTTTTAAAAGAAAAAATGAAAAAAAATGAAGCCATCTTTTCATAATGATGGTTCTTTTTCTCTTGAAGGGGGAAGTGTTGCGAAGTTGGGTAGCGTACTTGTTGATTAGAAGGCAGGAGGTTACACAAAAGCATTGTGTAGTCCCTTTAAAAGATAATGTGCTTTTTCTATGCTTGGAGATTTATATAGGATGTCTGTGAGCAACAGCTTGGAAGTTTGAAAGTACACAGAAAGCAAACAAATTGAAACATTTGTATCAAAAAGCCATACAGTTAGCAGACCAAGCTGCAGTTTTTACCAAGGCAATAAGTTTTGAATTTAGACAATCAATTTGAATCTGGCACTTAGATAACAAAAGCCAACTAAATTTAAATCTGATGGTTTTGACAATATAAGATCAATCCTATTGTAAGAAATTGATATGTTATCAAGGATATACAAGAAGAGCACAGTTGGACAAAGACAGGAGAACTAACTGCCATTTGCCAGAGTTAACAGCTTTCCGCTCTCAAGACAGAATTGATGCTTCTCAAGGTCTTTACTGAGTCTTAGAGAAAGCATCATCTAAAGAACAAAGGCACCTATGGCACAACTAGTTAATATTCCTGTCAGAAGGGTCGATGGAGAAGGTGTTCCTGACACCACATTCAACAGAGAAGGCACAGAACATCCTGGAAGACAAGTAACTTAGCTGTAATTTTGAGAGACTAAATTCTATGTTTTTTAAATTTTATATAAGTGGGACTTCTTTATCTCTTTACCTCTTTATTCGAACAGCATACCATTAGAATCCTATTTTATTCGGGAATAGTTAGTAGTTAGATGGGGTTTATTTGGTTTGTTAATAGTTTAGTTAATTTGTTCCCTGTCAGAGTTTGATAAATAAATTGTTAGTTGTTGATTGTAAAGTGAGTGTCAACCTCTGCTTTATAACATGGGTATTGTCGGAGATATAACTAATCAGGCAAGTGGAAGAACGGTCATATCAGCCTTGAGGTGCAAATTCTGTTTCTCTCTCCACAGATGATGCCAGACCTGCTCAGTTCCTGCAGCACTTTCTGTGTTTATTTCAGATTCTTCGCATCTGCAGCATTTTATTTTCATGCCATTCCATACCTGACTTAGGCCTTGTTGATGGTGGACAGGCTTAGAACAGCCAGGAGGGGAGTTACTGACTTCAGAATTCCTCGCCTTTGACCTTCTCTTATAGCCACAGTATTTATGTGGCAATTCCAGCTCTGTTTCTGATCAATGGTCACCCCCAGGATGTTGTTAGTGGGGGACTCAACAATAGCAACACCAGTGAATGTCAAGGAGTGATGGTTGGATTCCTTCTTGTTGGATGTGTTCATTGCCTGAGATTGTATGGTGTAAAAGTTCTCTGCCTTTTATGAGTCCAATCCTGGATGTTGTGTAGGTCTTATTGCTTTTGGACATGCTTCAGCATTTGAGGAATTGTTGGATAGAATTTTAACGTTTGCAGATAACACGCAACTTGGAAGTATGGTGAACAATGAGTAGATAAGATATCAATTTGAAGATCACATAGATTCGCTGGAGGAATGGATCAGGACTGAATCACGATTCGAGACTTCAGAAGGGTATAGGGTAGAAAAGCAAGGACATTCTCATGAACTTTTATAAACCACTGGTTTGTTCTCATCAGGAGTACTATGTCCAAATCTGAGAGCCACTGTTTAGGAAGGCATTGGAGAGCATACAGAAAATATTTATGAGACTTGGTGAAGTGGAGAATGTTTGAGAAGGTTGAGAAGAGATTTGATAGATGTGGTTCATGTGAGCTCTGGACAAAGTAGATAGAGACATATTGTGCCTAATGGTGGAAGGGTCGAGCACCAGAGTGCACTATTTTAAGGTGACTGACAAAAGACCCAGTGGAGAAATGGAGAAATAAACATTTCCACAGCTTGTGAGTGTGATGGAGACAAAGTCAACTGTGGCTTTCAAAAGGCAACGGATAATTATTTGAAGATAAAGGATTTTCAGAGCTACAGGGACAAATGCTTTCATCCTTGTAGACCCTTTGTTCAGGCCAGCAGCTTCTACCTCCAAAGGGTTTGCCAATCATTGAACTACAGAGCTTCCCATTGGCCCTAGCATTACGGGCTTGCCCAATGGCTTTGATTGGACAATAAGAGGGCTCCTTGCCTTTTATTGACTGGATCATTAAAGATTGTAAATAGCTGTCTACTGGCATTTGGAACCCAAAACTCACACCCATTTTTGATTCTCAACACTATTGAAAATCCAATTCCATAAGTCAGTCCAAGTTTTTCAGACAAATATACTAAATTGCATTAATTGCAATAAGGATGTATATAGACATCCCAGTGCAATATAAATTCAATTTTTATCTGTTGCTCCTGTTACAATCCTTACATTGACCAGACATCCACCTTGGGACCATATTTCTGATGAGCAAGGAGCTCTGGAGCAGCATAGGCAGGACTCCCACACTGTGTATTCAACAACTCCTGGCTGTCACTCTTCAAGGTGTTACTCAGTCCAAAATCTACATTGAGAAATAAACAAAACGGGCAATCAATGCAAAACAAGTTAGCTAAGACTTCAATAGGTGCTCAAGTACAGACCTTATTCTTCATTCATTACCTCACGACCATTTTTATCCCCCTTCAATCTTAAACGCTTGAAGTTTTTTGCTGAAGTTCAGTTCTACAGGTGCCAGGCATCTACCAGTGTCAATCATTGCAAGCAATGTGTTCTGCTCTCTAATTTACATTGTACAAGGCCTTAGTTTAGATGGGAAATTGAAAATAGTAAATGAGCAGGAGTATTCTTTTATTTTAGCAACTACAGTACATCCCTGAATAGCACATGAACAGGATTTAGACTTCCATTCATTTGATTAAATGACAAAAGAAACATAAGAAGCAAAGCAGAAGTAGCCCAAAAACTTAGTCTGCCATTCAATAATACCATAACTGATCTATTTATGGAATTCAATTCACTTTCCTGTCTGACTGTCCCCTATAATCTTTAACTCCCTTAGAGATAAAAAAATGTAACTCAGCTTGTATATATTCACAGCCTCCGCTGCTCCCCAGGGGTTGAGAATTCCAAATATTATTGATTCTCTGAGAAAAGAAGGTTCTCTTTCGTGTAATAACTGGGAGACACTTTATTTCTGAACAGTGTCCCAAGTTCTCAATTCCATCATGAGGAGAAATATCTTTCTGAGTATCTATCCTGTCAAGCCCTTTCAGAATCCTCTATATGTTAATAAGAACATTCTCATTTTTATAAACATCAGTGAGTATGATTATTGCCGAACCTGTTCAACCTGTCCTCATTAGGCAGCCCCTTCAACCTGGGAATTAACCTAATGCACCTTCTCTGAATTGCTGCCAGTGCAAGATTAATCCTTGTTAGGGAAGGAAACTAATTCAATACACCATACTACAGGGGTGCTGTCACCAAAATACCACATGCTTTAAGAAACACTTCCCTATTTTTACACTGTATTCACCTTGCAATAAAGGCCAATAAAGTATTATTATAAAGGAATTTTACCCATTATCACCAGCTTTGGAACAAACTTCAATTTGCTGCTGGTAATATAGTACAGAATTTGATCATTGCTAATAAAAGAGAAATGCTGCCAGATCTTTTTAGCATGTTCAGATACTCTACCAAATCGAATACCAAGTTTTAAAGGGAATAACAATTTATATTGCATAAGAAACACGGTATTGACTGGCCCATGAACTCTTACTGGGGATCGGTGAGCTCAGTATTCTGGATAGATGGCTTGCAATACAAAGATTCAATGGATGCAGGAGTTCAACTCCTACACTGACTGAGGAAGGACTTTCCTCGTCTCTCCTTGCAGAGGCATGGTGACCCTTCGATTACACCAACATTAGTTATCTCTAATGACAGAATAGGACTATGGCAACTTCTTACCTTTACTAATCAGGTCAATGCATTGGAGCATGCGCCAGAGAATAATGTCTCCCAATTTTTTGTTTATTTGAAAAAGCACAAATTTCATTTCACTGCAGAGGACCTGATCCCTGCATATGAGAATATGCAGCTTCTAGCAAAGCATAAATGAGCCACATTGCAAACCCAACTAATAATTTCAAATTGTATGTTGGTGTGATTTTTGGGCACGCTTGGGATTGTTCATGAAGTGCTGCCCAATTACATCTATTGTTGGACACAATGTTCTGAGTTTTCCAAGCACAGGTTGATTCCATATAGTTTGTACTCAGCCTGTTGTGAACTAGCAAAGGTTGAATACCTCTCCTGATTATTGTTTCTATTAAACCAACTGGATGTGGTACGCAGTGGGTGGCCGAGATGATAATGCATGTTTTACCACTGCTTAATGCCAGAATTGCTCATAATTGTCTTTGGATTGAATCCTTATTCTAACATATTAATGTGGCTGCAACAACATTATAAAGAGTGAACATGTGATTTCTAACTAGAATCATGGAGCCATTGAATTATACAGCATGGAAACAGACCCTTTGGTCCAACTTGTCCATGAAGGCCAGATAACCGAAATTAATGTAATCCCATTTGCCAGCATTTTGCCCATATCCCTCTAAACCCTTCCTATTCATGTTCTCATCCAGATGCTTTTTAAATATTGTAATTGTACCAGCCTCCACCACTTCCTCTGGCAGTTCATTCTATACACACACCACCCTCTGCATGAAAATATTGTCCCTTAGATCTCTTTGAAATTTTTCCTCTCTCACCTTAAACCTATGCCCTTTAGTTTTGGACTCTGTATCCTGGGAAAAAGACCTTGGCTAGTCACCCTTTCCATGGCCCACATGATTTTATAAACCTCTATTACATCACCCCTTAGCCCCTGACGCTCCAGGGAAAATAGCCTCAGCCTATTCAGCCTCTCTGTTGCAAAATTGGGTAGAGTATTTATGGATTGGGAGGCAGGAAGTTAGAATTTGGTGTTAGTAAAATGTTAAGGGGGAAAGCAGTGCGTGATCCCTTTAAAAGGTGATATGCTTTTTCTATGCTTAGAAATACAAAAAAACACATCTGTGGGCAACAGCTTGTGGGTTTGCAGGTACACAGAGAGCACTCAAATTGAAAAATTTGTATCAAAAGCCATACAGTTAGCAGGACAAGCTGTAGTTTTACCAAGAAAATAAGGTTTTGTATTTAGCAAATCAATTTGAGCCAGGCACTTTGATACCAAAAACCAATTAAATTTAAATCTGACGGTTTTGATAAAATAGGACAAATCCTATTGTAAGAAATATTGATATGGCATCAAGGATATAAAAGAAAGGGCAGCTGGGCAAAGACAGGAGAACTAACTGCCATCTGCTACAGTTATCAGTTCTCAGTTCTCAAGAGAGAATTGCTGGCTCTCACAGTCTTCTCTAAGTGTTAGAGAATGCACCACCTAAATCAAATGCACCAATAGTACAACTGGTCCTGACAGAAGAGTCGGCCTGAGAAGCTGTTCCTGACAGAACATTTGATAGAGAAGGCACAGAGCGTTCCAGCAGACAAGTAATCTGGCTGTAGTTTTGAAAGACTAAATTATTTTTTTGTTTTATATAAGTGGCACTTATATTTATTGGAACAGATTACTTCGAATCTTGTTTTATTTGGGAAAAGTTAGTAGTTAGAAGGGATTTATTCTTTGTTAATAACTTAGTTAATCTGTTCACTGTTAGAGTTTAAAAAAAATTGTAACTTGTTGATTGTAAAGTGTGTGTCAGGGATTTGTTTTATTTAATCACTGGAAGTTACTGAAAGGCAGGTTACACCACTTTTCACACTCCTTTTACAGATTATAGGGTGAGGTGCTCCTTTTTGGGTGTTTGGTTTTAGTTCACAGAGGGGGGGTCAACATCCATTTTATATCACACTCCCTTTAGCTCAAACCCTCCAACCCCGGCACATCCTTGTAAATCTTATCTGCACTCTTTCAAGTTTAACAACGTCTCTCAAGCACACATTTTGTATGATTAGTTTCTAATTATTTCTTTATTTTTATTACACTTACCGACAATTTTGATGTTGTTATTTTCATCAAGGAGGAAGTTTTCGATTTTTAGATCCCTTGAGAAAACAACAGGAAACAATTAATTTAAATGTAAATATTCTACTTGAAATTTATTTCACATTTAAACTGAGTTTGTTTGAACAACTGCCCAATGGTCTTTAGAATTTTTCTCTCCTTATTCCTCTGAGTTACAAATAAGGAGGCCAAACCCCATGAGTTTACAATCCTAGTGTGTCAAGCTATGATCAATTGGAATCTCTTTGTCCTTTTTAGGCTCAGAAAATGATTCACTTTTCCGAATTTTCCTGACAGCTTTCTGAAGCAGTCTGGGTACATCTCAGGCAATGAACCACCCTACTGCTACCGAACCACCCTACCCTTTGTAGAGGAACCAGAAGAGGGCATATCAAAAACTGCTCCTGAAGACACTGCTGTGTAGACACAAATTCAGAAGGAGACAGGACAGGAATATCCAGGTGGAGTAGCAGAACTGAATAACGCTGCATTTGCAGACTGGTGAAGCTCAGGTCTAGCCAGAGGGAAAACCAATTTTTGAAGCCTCATCCCAAGACCATCTTCTTTCTGACAAGTAGCGTTGGCTTATTTATTGATACTTAATCCCAATTTATGATGGATCCACACACAGAAAATTTCTACCACTGACCCTACCATTTACCATATCTGAGATCAGCGTGAATTTTACTTATGGCTGCGAGGAATCTGTGGCACCATACATGTACCGGTGCAGGGGAAGTATCATCAGGTTAGCTACACCAACACTGCCAAGCCTATATGTTTGAACAATTTAGCTCCTAAATCCAATGAATGACCATTTGTAGTTGCCTGGAGAAATTGATAGTGAAATGAATGGCTTGTAGGGTCACTTCAAAATACAACAAGAATAACCTCTGTCATGTGAACTGGAGTCATGTTTAAGAAATATGAGCAGGAGGATTGGGGTGAGAAAGCATCCTCTCTTATCTCAAAGATATTGATGAACTGATTGATTCTTTTTGTAACATTTAACAAATTTCTAAGTCATTTTTTGAGTACTGGTTATAAATTAAGCTACATACTCAACAAATCAATCCTCACAGTCTGCCATGGTGAGCTTTAAACTTCTAAAATTCTGTATTTCTATAAAGCACAATTACAGTCCTTCAATAATGTCGGACGCAAAATAATGTTAAGATAAACTTGAGTATTTAAGTTATGTTAAGTGGTGTGATCATAGGCAAAACAATATGATTCTGCTAATTAAAAAAGAAGAGGTTCCTACTTGATGACATTGTTGGATATTCAAGGCTTTGAGCTGGATGATTATGTGGCTAGAATCACAGAATCTTACAATACAAAAGGAGGCCTGTTCCAGCTCTTTAACAGCTGCAAGGCAGATGTTTCTCAATTCCCTTGATAATAAGTCCATTGCAGATGCTCTGTATGAAAACATTTCTCTTCATTTCCATCCTATAGCCAATCACTTTAAATCCACGGCTTTTGATTACAGACTCAGTTGTTGAAGGAAACATTTTCTCCCTTCTTGTTTGATTTGAATTCTTCATAGTTTTAAATATCTCTATAAGGTGTCCATTAATCTCCTCTTGTCTATGGAGAACAATCCCAGTTTCTTCAATCTCTGCACACAACTGAAATTCTTTATCCATTATATCACACTGGTGAACAACTGTTTCTGAGGCTTTGAAAACCATCCTGAAATGTAGTGCCCAGAATTGTAGACGATATTCCAGCTGACCAGTGGTAGTGTATGTTTATGATTTTCTTGTATATGTATTCAATGTCCTTGTTTACAAAGTAAAGTATCCCGTTGGCTTTCTCAACTGCCTTATCAATTTGTCCCGTCATCTACAAGGATTTGTGCTCATGTATCCCCAAGCTTTTGCATCTCCTCGAAATTGCAGCATTCAGATTCTACAATTTCTAAATTTTGCTCCTCCCAAAGTACATCACTTCACACTCAGCGCATTGATTTACATCTGCCACATATCTGTCCATTTCATCAATCTATCCGTGTCCCCTGAAGTCAGATACTATCCTGGTTATGACTTCTATGTTGCCAGTTTTTGGATCATCCATAAAGTTTGAAATTGAATGCTGTCTTTCCACATTTATGTCATTGTTTGAAGCAATCATTCTCATACTGACAACTGGAGAACTGCCTCCCCCACCCTAAACTTCCTTCTGTAATAAAACTACTTGTTCACCATTCATCTTTGCCTCCCATCTCTTTCAGCCAATTATGTACTCAAGTCTCCACATCCCTTTAATACTATCTGCTTCTGCTTTTTTTCTTTATTCTTTCACAGGACGTGGCCATTGTTGACAAGGCCAGTACTTTTTGCCCATTCCTAATCTCCCTTGAACTGGTTAGGTCCCTCGGTCATTTCAGACAGCAGTTGAGAGTCAGTCCATGACGGTGGGTCTGGAGGCAAGATCATGTAAGGACAGAAAAATTTCTTCCCTAAAGGACATTAGGGAATGAACAAGATGGGATTTTATGATAGTTGACAATGTTTCATGGTCATCATTACTGATATTAATTCCAAATATGTTAATTGAACTAAAATCCACCAGCTACTGAGGTGGGATTTTGAAACCGTGTCCACAGAGCATTAGCCTGAACCTCTGGATGAATTGTCCAGAGACATGATCACCATACTAACTGCCTGCTGCCTGCTTCTCTTTCTGAATGTGTCTGTTATGTGGTACTTGAACAGGTCCTATTCACAAACAATCAGTTTTGACAGTACCTTTGTTGAGTAGATTACCTACAGTCAGCTTGCTGCTCTAGCCTGATTATCTGCAATTGACATTATGTTGTTCAGTTTTGTGAGTCCCAGGATTGAAGCGACATTTGCCAACAGCTGTAAATCTGACTTCCCTGACATCTATTGTGCATATGGAACAAGAAAACATTCATGACTGATTTCCACTATATGATAAATTATGATGATTGATTTAGTCACTGTCCTTTGTGATTGGTCAACATTAGACAAACAGAACCAACTGCCATCTTTCTTTATTGACTTGTTTTAGAACCCGCACTCAATGTCAGCAGACTCTGATCTTCATGATTGATAACAAATAAACTGCCCTCTGCCATTACATCTCAACACAGTGAGTAAAGCTTTACAGTATCAACATTATTCAAACTGCAACACTTATAATCAAGCACATGTTAATATTAATTGGGTAATTATCTATCACCACACTTGTTCCGCTCAGCTTACTGCCAATCACAGACAGTAATAAACACAGCTGTTCAAAGATGTGGAAGGGTGATTTGATTCATAGAATCATACAGTACAGAAGAGGCCCTTTGGCCCATTGAATCTGCACCAATAGAAAATACTCGAAATCTGTACTAGTCCCACTATCCATCACATGGCCCATAGCCTTGAATGTTGTGACATTTCAAGAGCTTATCCAAATACTTTTTAAAATTTATGAAGTTACCAGCTTCGACCATCCTCCCAGGCAGTGCATTCCAGTCCTAGCTGATCTGTTAAAAACCTAAATGTCACTTCCCTTTTCAGTTGAGGAAGTTACCATTGAAATGTAAATATGTTTGATATTAGCAGAATGCATCATGTTATACCAAAAGGTTTGAATTCTCCATGATGCCATGCTCTCATCTGCTCTGTCAGAGATACAACAAATGTTGGTTCATGAGCTGAGGGAGGACATTTGGAAGACATTTACTTGGGTAGAACTTAATTTGGGTTCATTTTTGAACGCATCTTCAGATTGAACAATAATAGGTGGCTTGTACCATAAGGAAAAACAGTTTCAGATATTGATCTTAAAAATCCAAAAAAATGGTTTCGACTACAGAGTGGTGGTATTGGGTGGGGTGAGATGTGATGGGGCATGTGTCAATCAAGGCTCCTGTGGAATGTGGTGTTGGGAAGTACTACTGTTCCTTTTGTATGCAAGCAAATGTTTTACTTTTACTTTTAGTTAGTGGCTTGGAGACCTCTGAAAAATTCTGATAGATTAGGAAGCAAGCTCCTTTAACCAGCATTTGGTCCACCATTAGCATACTTAGGGTCCTAAAGCCTTGATTCCTGACCAACACCTATGTTTATGAACCAGAGACCGTCCCAGTGCTCAATTAAAATGCTTTGCACTCATTTGACACCCTAAAAGTGTGGATAATATAGACTAGCATCCCCCTATTGCCAATAGCATCTTTATTTACTTCGAAGCATTTTGTTTTTCATTGGAGTTGATGTCAATGTTTTCCCTTTATAAGATTGTGTGTAGCTCCTTTTAAAAGGTTTTAAAATACAATGAAAAATAATTTATCTTCATGTGTCAAATGCAGAACAATCAGTAAATACCTCACTTTAGATGAGAAAAGTGCAAAGTTTCATTGCAATATTACAAAATACTGGAAAATTTATAAAATAACTGCTGTGATTCCCCAATGCGTTGTAATTTTGTGAAGATGTAGAGAGCAATTCATGTGACAGATAACTTGTGGAGACCAATGTGCCACCATCAACAATGTGATAATAACTTGATAATCTGTGTTGCTAATGGTGTAGTCCGAGAGACAAGTATTGGTCAGGAAAATTCCCCTAGTTATTCTTCAAAACTGTGCTTGGGATGTTTTAAATCTGCCTTACTTAAAGGCCTCAGAGAGGCCTCAGTTGAAAATCTCATCTGAAGGATACATTTATAAGTTAAATTTGTACTTTAGCCAAAGCATTTTTTCTGTATGTCAAAGGTTTAAAATCAATGTCAATCTGAGTTGTCTGCATTTTATTTTTGTGTTAGCTTTCTGAACCTATCAGCTCCTTTTCTAGTTTGTGCTTTTGTGAAAACTATTTAATTTTAAAAGTTTACACTTTGGATGCACAAAGTGCAGAGACAAATTCTTCCCTTGGTGGAAAAGCACACTATCTAACAGCTGAATTAGCACCACATACATCCATGTGGTGTCTAAATTGAGTATATGTTTCATTCTCACTGTTTACTTGCTTTGCTCAGAAATAAATTCCATTGACAGCTTACTATTGGTGTCCAATATTGATACTTGAGGATTATTTTCTAATTCTCCATTGTTAGCAGCAATCTCTGAAATTCAAAAGGGCCATCTTATAACCATTTAAAATACTCATGCAGAGCAGGACAGAATCAGTAAACAGTTTGGTGTATAAAGTTTGATGTGTTAAGTAGCTCCACAACTGAGACAGGATAGATAACCCTGATAACAGATACATGAGGAGCAGTATCTGACTCTGCCGATGGGCAGGCTATGATTCCAGTTCTACCTGTGTACTATCGTGTGACGATGGAGATGCTCCACTGCTGACAAGATCTGTCTAGTGTATTTTCTCACTTCTCTTTCTTCCAGCTTCTTCTTTTCACAAATTCTATCCATCAGGTCTCCTCCCTGGCATAACTCCATAGCCATGTAGTAGGAGTTCTCTGTCTCCAGGGTTTCAAATAACTGAACAATGTTTGGGTGCTTGATCATTTGGTGGATGCGGGGCTCCCTTTTCATATTCTTCCGCACGTAAGTGTCCTGCTTTGCTTTTTTCTTGTCAATCACTTTGATCGCTACCTGGTAAATAAAGTAAATTAAGTTAATGAACACATATAGATATTGGCCAGCAATGTGATTCCAAGGCTGTCAAACAGATGTCTAAGGGTTCAGTCAGAATGGTGGTGACCTGTGCGTGTTTATTTCTTACCAAATGTCAACCTCCCATCTTGTTGGATCCTGCTTCTCAGTATGTGTCCAGGTACCATGCTAGAGGTATTTTAAAATCCCATTATAATATTTAATTTGGGCTCCATTCTTGTTGTAAGTCCCTATTGTGAAATTGGTTGACCCCGAGCCTTGATTCATCTGGTCATTGCAAATCAGGTCCCCATCCATCAACAAGGGCCCTGTAAGAGCTCTGTATAAAGGACTCATCCCCTTCAAACAGGTCAGTTATTGGTTTGTCCTCTTAGGTTGCTGGGTAACTTCTGTGTCTTCTTTGGGTTTCAATTTCTGCCTTGAATAAATTAATTACGACTTTCAGGAAACCACTTTACTTTGGTGCAAGACATATTATATCTCCTTTGTAAAGTGTTTTATTCTGTCCATATGAAGTCTGGTAGGTCTTTCTTCAGGGCTGAGGATGGAGGAACAGGGAAGAAAGCAAGAGAGAGCGGAAGAAGCTGCAAGTAGAGGAAGGAGGAAAGCACTGTGCAGGAGGCCGAACCATAAAGGCTCTTCAGATAGTAGCTCAGCGATGCCAGGGAAGTGGTCATGGAGCTATGCCCCTTGTTACAGCTCCAGGCGGAGCCCATGGACTGTGCGGCTTATCACTGCCAAGGTCACCTTGGACATTGACTGTTCTACCCCCGGTTCATTCCAGGTTCCAGCAGGTTTCACCAGGGATACATTGCAGTTTATTTGTTATAACGAGGAGATTCTACACAAGGAATGCACATACTTCATATTCCCAATGGATAGAGTGAGACAGGACAAGAAGACAAGAGGCATGGTCTGCAAGTCCCTGCGAGGGCTGACCCCAAGTCACCAGAGTAGCAGCCTACTGGCTTAAACCCGTACCCTCACTCTGAACTTGCATCTATTCCTAGCTTCCCTCTGATCTTCCCTCATATCTTTTTCACCTTGAGATTTCTTTTCTGTTTCCTTGATCCTACTCTCAATAAACTGATGGCCATGCAACTTCCCTCCTGGTCTTTATGGCAACTGATATTTTTAAAAGTTCACTCTCTTAAGACTCAAATACCCTCCATTATCAACATCCTGGAGCTTACTATTGATCAGAAACTGAATTGGACCAGCAAATACTGTGGCAACAAGAAAAGGTGAGAGGCTAGGATCTCAGCTTCTGACTTCTCAAATCCCACCCACCATCCACAGGGCACAAGTCAGGAGTGGAATGAAATACTCCTGACTTGCCTGGATCAGCATAGCTACAATAACATGGAAGAAGCTTGACACTATCCAGGACAAAGCAGCCTGATGATCATTCCCCTTCAACATTCACTCTCTTCGCCTCCAATACAGAGTGGCAGCAGTGTGCACCATCTACAAGATGCACTGATACAACTCATCCTTGCTCCTTCCACAGCATCTCCTAAACCTGCAACTTCTACTACTGAACAATAAGGAAGAATCTGTGTGGAAAAACCACCAGCTGCAAATTTCCCTTTGAGCAACACGCCATCCTGACTTGGAACGATTTTGCTGTTATTTCATGGTCACTGGGTCCAAGTCCTGAAATTTCCCTCCTCATAGCAATGTGGGCACACTTATACCCCACAGGGTGTATAGGTTCAAGAAGACAACTCGCCATCACCCTCTCCACAGCTATTAGGAATGGACAATAAATGTTTGCCTAGCCAGTGATGCACACATACCATGAATGAATAATAAGGAGGACTGTGCTCTAATTCTGACCACTTGAACACTGTAAATTCTAATCTCTCCACTACTGGTGACTGTGTCTTCAGATGCCAAAAGCCAAACATTGAAATTACCTCTCAAAAATTTTCCACTTCATTTCTCTTATCTTCAGATGCTGTCCTTCTGTCTGTCTTCATTAGACCATCGTCAGAAAAAAACCCTTGACCGCACCATCCTTGCAAATTACTATCCCAGCTCTGACCTCAATTTCCTCTCAAAAGTCTTTGAATGCATTGACGCCTTTCGAATCCATGCCTATCTTTCCCAGAACTCCATAGTGTAATTTCTCCACTAAGGTTTTTGCTCCTGACATAAGACCAAAATGTCTCTTTGCAAAGTAGCAAATGACATTCCATGTGACAGTGATGAAGTTAATGTGCTTTGCACATCATTCCCGACCTGTCTGCAGCCTTTAATATGATTGACTGCACCGTCGTCCTCCAACATCTCTGAAACTGCACTCACTTGCCTCCACTCTTATCTATTTAAGAGTAAGCAGAAAATCACCATCAATCACTTATTTTGCCATACCTGCACTGGTAGGGTCCAAGAATTGATTCTGGGCCCTTCCTATTTATTGTTACATTAACTGAAAGGGTAATATTAGTTTTTACATTTACGTTGGCAACACTCATCTCTTGTTCACTACCATTTCCTTCAACTCCTCCCATGGTGTTAAACTATCAGACAGCTTATCTGATATGCATTATTAGATGAGTAGCACTTTCATAAATTTAGGCTCTGGGAAAACCGAAAACTTGCGTTTGGTCCCAGTTCCAAACACCATTTCATTGTTATTGACAGCATTCTTCTCCCGAGGAAATTTCCAAGAGGAAACCTGACTTTTTGCAACTGTGGTGTGATTTTTAATCGTGAGATGAATTTCTAACCAGGTATGGCACTTGTACCACAACTGCCTACTTCCAGCTCCATAACATTGTCTGACTTTGCCCCATTTCACCTCATCTGCTGCTGAAATGCTCATTCCTATTTATTACCTTTATATTTGATGATCATAACAGACTCCTGTTGGACTTCTACATTTGAGCTTCTGTAAAGTTGAAGTCATCCAAAACTCTGTTGCCCATATCATTATTTGCACCAAGTCCTGTTTCCCTATTACCCCTGTGCTCACTGATATCCACTGGCTTTCAGACAAGCAATGCCTTGATTTAAAATTCTCATTCTTTCTTGTTCTTGTTTTCAAATCCTTCCATGGCTTCATCCCTCCCTATTCCTATATTCACCTGCAACTCCACTACTCTCTGACATACTGGACTCTTGAATGTTCCCAACTTTAACAGTTTCGCCTTTAGTGACAATGGCTTTAGCTGTCAAATGCATTAACTACAATTCCCTCCCTAAGCCTTTCCACCTCTCTACCCTTGCCTTTCTCTTTAGGTTGTGTCCTTCTCTGTCCTAAATCTAGTATTGAGATTCTGAATGTACACTATCCATCAGTTTTTAGCAAAGTATGGAGGCCACAGAAAGAATTGATATTTCCAGCGTGCCAGCTTTTCCACTGTAACATCATATAGATAGGCCGCATAAAAATAGTGAGCTACAATTATAAGACAGGGAGGTAAATAATGTATTAATGAGGATTGGTTATTTTGAATAACTAAATTTAATGTCAATATACAATTGTGGAGTTTTAGAAGTTTCCGGATAGATGTATTATTGACGTTACAGATTTTGCTCTGAAAATATTTATTAAGTTTTCATATTTTGAGTGTTCCAAATATGAGTTTTACAAAAATGTGGAATATGATAGTTATATCAAGAGGTTCAGCCTGGAGCAACCATGGAAATATAGCACAATATTAAATAATAACATAATACAGCGGCATAAACAGAAGATCATCAAGCACACCCTATAAGAGTTTTCCTTTGAATCCTATTCCCTGCTCTTTAATATAACATTTTCTTTTAGTTTTTAAAGCAATTATAAATTCTGCTTCCAACTCTTGCAGCATTCAATTATTTTATCACCTCTCTTCATCAAAAAACACACTCAATCTCTCCTAGTGCTTTTGGTGATGCTAAATTTATACTGTCTAGTTCTCCACTCACAGACTAATAATTGGTCTCTCTTTATCTCATGGAACTCTGCACAACAATGAGAAAATGTCACTTTAGTTGTAAAATTGCAAAACCTTGAAGAGCCACCATTAGCAGCATTTACACAAATTTTCTGGCGTTTCTGGGGCTCTTGTACTGACGTTATTGACCTGGGCTTTGCTTTGTTTTAAACTGTTAGTTGTTTGTTTAACACTGTCCTTTGGAACTTTCCCACAGAGTTTGAATTAATAATCCAGACTGTTATTGACGTTACAGAATTCTGAGGGTGTGCTGCATTGTTGGAGGTATCATCCCTTGTATAATACAATGAACCAAAGATGAATTGGTATTACTGAAGCAATGGCACTATGGCATAGAATAGTAAACGACTCATTTGATCAGTATTTCTATATTTTTGCTTATTCAGATTAGACCATAAAACCAAAACATACAGGAAAAGAATTAGACTACTCAATCATTAAGTCTACTCCACCATTCAGTCATGGCTGATATGATTCTCAACCCTATTTTCCTGACTTTTCCCCTTAACCCTTGGTCCGCTTAGCAATTAAGAACCTATCTATTTCTGTCATATACACTCATGACTTGGCCTCCACTGCCCTCTGCATCGAGTTCCACAGATTAACCACCCTCTGGCTGAAGAAATGCCTAAAATCATATCAATATAATATTGTCATTAGACTGCAAAGGTAATTCATTGAGTGACGTGAAGATGTTTTGATACAGCAGTATTCTACTGGCTCTTTTTGAAGACAGGGGTTTTATATGTGCGCTATTAGAAATATCTTTTTCCTGCAATCTTGAATTTGCAAATCGATAATGTCTTGTGTTGTCCACCGGCCATTGCTCATTATCTTCTAACAATATCGAGCCCACTCTATCAGTATTATTATCAAAACTACCTTGCTGTGTTACCTTCTTCTTAGCTTTCAAAAATGTGTTAACAAGTCAGAGATCTACAATATTTTTGAAATTCCTGCTGAGTGTTCACCTCTGCAGCTTGTGATATGTTTTGGCATGTCCTTTTATATATGGTATCTTATCCAGCACCTTCTGAAAATCCAAATATATTTAATGCTTCTCCTTTAACTATCCTGTTTGTTACTTCCACAAAGAATTCTAATAAATTTGGCAGGCATGATTTCCTCTTCATGAAGCCATGCTGACTCTGCTTGATCATATTATGTATTTCTAAATGTGCTGCTCTTACATTCTTTATAGTAGATTCTAACATTTTCCTAATAAACTAAGCGGTTAGAATCTAAGGATTCATGGAAAATTTCTACCAATTCAACCATTATCTCTGTAGCTACTTCCTATAATATTGCAGATATATTCCATCAAGTTCAGGGGACTTGTCAGTCTATTGCCCTATTAGTTTCTCCAGCATTTTTTTTCTCCAGTGATAGTAATTGTATTGAGTTATTCTTCCACGTTTGCTCCTTAAATATTTAGCAATTTTGAGATGCTATTAGTGCCTTCTGCTCTCATGGCTGATGCAAAGTATTCATTCAACTCCCTCTGCCGTTTCCTGGTTCCCCATTATTATTTCTCCAGCCTCATTCTCTAAGGAGTCTACATTCACTTCACCTTCCTGCTCTCTTCTTACATATATTTTTATATGTTTATTGTCTTGGGAAACAGCCCTTTTAAAAAAATCACATGCATATTTTGTCAATTGCAAAGTAGAAGTAAACAATAAAATAGAAGCTGGCTAAACAGAAGAGGAATAAGATGTTTTCTGAAGTGGAGTCAGATTGTAGCCAATGACGATGCTGTGCTAGTAAAAGTAGCAATCCTCTGGGAAATGTGATGAAGATCTAAAAGCAAAGAGTGGACAAGTGGTTAGATAACTTGAGGCCAAGTGCTTGAGGTCCAACAATGAGTATTCGTTCCTCTGAGAAGCAGCACGACAATTTGTATGGGCAGAGTTGGAGAGGCCTAAATGTCAGCAATTAAACAGGAAATATTGATGGGTGGTCAAAGCAGCATCATTGCAAGCATTGGCTCCACCCAGGGCCAAATGATGGTTATCTGAAAGGAAAGACCAGAGACCATGTGAGAAAAAAAAGGCAATGGGAGAGGTACATGTGGTGGGAGGCCAGTTAACCAAGGTTAACGGCAACTGAAGGGTGGGATCACATGGTAAATTGTGGAAAATGGAGTATTTCACTAATCATACAACTTAATTATATATTAACTATTTGCCTATATGCAGCTTGAACAATTTAGAAGCCAAGATTTCATTTCTATTTCTCCAGCAAGTTTTGGTTGCCAAACAACTTCCTGAATCCAGTTTTACAGCTCTGAGAAGAATGGGAAAGCAACCGATTCCCACTTTGAGGCAACTGACAGTTGTAGCCTGGGAGGTATGAAGCAATTATATGTGTGGAAGGAGAGGACTTTGGACGAGCTGGCAGAGGTCCAGAGTATTTTTTACTCTGTGGCTCAAGAGTAAAATTTCAGCTTCCTGAGCTATGAATGAGGAATGGCGAATGGAAAATAATGTGGAATAGCAAGGATACACAGATAGGATAAATGGGAGCTTGTTTGGTTTGGAATATGAATAACAGACTTCATAAAGGGTTAATATTTGGCTCTGATGGGAACAAGATAGATTGCAAGAAGAGATTTCAAAGTGTTGAGCCTGGAAGTGACAACAGTGCAGATGGTAATTTTGGCCAGGGGGAGCAAGATGGTGATGGAAGTGTGTGAATTTGTGTAGTCAGAAGTACTTGGTACTGCATGTGACATGGGGTTTAAAGTTCATCTTGATTCAAAGAGGATGCCAAGGATGTATCTTATGCAAGTGGTTGGAGAAATAAATGCAAATAGGAGATGGATTATTGCTAGTTGTTAAATAGGATCACAGCAGCTACTGAAATAATTTGTCCCACAGAATCTTGCTTAAGTTATGATACAAAGTCGTGAATTCCCAATGAAAAATCTGTCCATTGATGTCAAGTAGGAGATCAGTAGCAGCAATTTAGTAATCCTGGGTTCAAGGTTAGTGGCAGAAAACTAAGAGCCGCTGTAATCTCTGTAAAGATCATTAACGTTCAAAGAAAAATTTAAATACCTAGTTATTTAAGAATCAAGTAAAGCAAGCATCACTATTGAATCAACATTGTTTTAACAAATCAATTGTACTTCACATTGGTAAATACGGTAAAATGCAACTAAAGACATTTTAGACTAACACCCCCAGCACACTATTGTCTTTTCCACTTTGACTCCCCTGCAAAGTCTAAATGTGTTTAACTTTCCATATCTGTCTTATAAGGTCTAGGACACTTCAGCTGAAGCCTGGGAAGGCTGTGGCAAAGTAGTAATTCCCCTGGGCTAATGAGCTCAGTTGGCTGGATGGCTGGTTTCCTCCCCTTGAGTGATGCTAACAGAATGGGTTCAATGCCTGCACTTGCTAAGGTTACCATGAGGGATTCCTTTTCTCAACCTCTCCCCTCACCTGAGGTATGGTCTCCCTCAGGTTAAACTCACCACCAGTCATCTCTCTGTCTTTAACGAGTGAGCAGGACAACGGTGACTTTACCTTTTATTTAACGAAGGGCAACATTTTTAGCAACGGAGCATGTAAATAGTGTTTTATTTTAATCAATATGATATACTGCAAAGTGGAAGGTAAGAAAGCCTAGAATGTGTTTTGTGCATATTCTTCAGTGTGAACTGAGTAGAGCTAGCAACTGCTGCACCTAAATGATGGGTGAGAGGGTCATGCAATATAGATTCTCTTGCTTAAGAAGCAACCGACAAATATAATTACAACATTTAAAAGGCACGTGGATGGGTATGAATAGTAAGGGTTTATAGGGATATGAGCCAAATGCTGGCAAATGGGACCAGGTCAGATTGGGATGTCTGGTCGGCATAGGTGAGTTGGATCGAAGGGTCTGTTTCTGTGCAGCATGACTCTATGACTCTTTAAGACCAGTCATAAGAAAGAACAAAATTGTTCGTCAATGTCTATGGCAGATAGGGGGAGTTGAGAATACAATTAGGACAAGGGATGGTGAAGTGATAGAAGTCATGATTTGCTGTCTTAATGTGGATCTAGGAGAACTCACTCAGAGATAGGATCCAGAAGGATCCAGACCCAAAACGTCAGCTTTCCTGCGCCTCTGATGCTGCCTGGCCTGATGTGTTCCTCCAGCTCTACACCTTGTTATCTTATTATAGGAGAACTCATGCCTTCTAGGTTTATGTGAAGTGGGTCTAACAGACAACCTTTGAGTTTCTTCTACAGACACCATGGTCTTTTTAAATAGCAACCCACTGATCACTGAAGAGACAAAAATGACTGCCTATACTACTTCCAGATGATATTGAGTACAGGACTTCATATATCCTAAAATGGTGTTCTTGTTTTAACACCCAAAAGACAAGTCAAAATGTTAATTTCTATTTTAAAAAAAACATGAGCGGAACTTTCATGAAGCAGCCATCACCATCAAAATGCTGCTGTGGGCCTACTTTTCTGCACCTTGGTGTTGCTGAGCAATACCTGGCTTCTTCAGATCAAACTCTTCCACAAAGAGCTCCACTGTAGGAAAATGGTGAAAATAGTATGGGGAGTGGGGTAGTGAGGAAAGAATGAAAAAATACTTCTTTTTAACCACACTAGCTCCCATTAGATAGGTTTAAATGTCCAGTGTGAAAGTTAATGAATGGGTGAAAAAACGAAGGTTAGTCAATGGGTGAGTTGGGGAATGAATGAATGGCCAGAGCGGTATGGTGGGTGGGTGGCAGAGGTGAATGGACAGGATGCTATGTGGAAAGTGTGAGGTGGGGTCAGGGGATAGTCAGGACTGGTTGGGTGAGGGGGAGAGGGTGTCTAGGGTATCAAACTGATTGTTTTTGGGTAGTTGCATAGTTAGCCAGGAGGTAAATTTATGATTTATCGGTCTAACATTTCCTGGGTAAAAATCCAGGTTAGTATGTCAGATGTTTCGTAAATCTCTGACTCTGACTTGGAGGCCCCTGGGGAACAGGGGAATTGTCCGTCAGAAGTTCAAACTTCCCAGGAAATTCCCACAGAGGTCATTGTGTTGGGACTTCTGTGAGGCCCTCCTGACTGAATCTGAGGGCCATGCCTTTAATTTTCAATGATCTCCAGACATCAGAAGATCTGGATCCTCATGTAGGAAGCCGTTCATGGAGGGGACTACGTGAAGAATCAAACAGGCAAAGCATGGCTTTCACAAACTGAAGCAGCAGTTTAAGAAGGGAAAGCAAACCCGTTGCGAATGGGAATACGGTGTCCATTGTTAAGCAGGAAGGAGGACAAGGGAAACACACAGAACAGTTAAGAACCCGAGCAGGGATCAACCTGATGCATGCATTTTCAGACAGTAACTGGCTCACTGAGGTAGACTGGATTAGAACAGAGACACAAACATTCAGTGTCACAACTGCAGTTGGTTCTGAGCTAATACTTCAGTATAATTGGAAAGAAGAGGCAGAATAACGTGAGAAAAGTAAACGCGTACATGAAGTTGAGTTGAATGGGATTGAGAATAATAAGCATTGATAAACTCCAGCAGTGTGGATCAGCTTCACCTCAGATCTCAAGTATATAACAAAGCACTTTTCATCCGGGCTGGTTCATTTTATTCTCCTATGTTGGATTCGATTTTTTTTTCTTATTTTAACCTGCTTTCTATTTGAGTAATTTTCACTGGGCAATGAATTTAAAAAAAAAATACATCTCGAACACGTACTTTTTCGGGTTGTCATCTACTGACCAGGAGCCAATGTACAGCCCCCGGTTGGTCCTTACCTTTTCCCCTGTTGGAACATGCAGTCCTTCCATCACCTTGGCAAAGGAGCCTTTGTTGATCATTTTACCCACCAGGTAATTCCCGACCCGTTTTATGTGAGAGAAACTTTTCATCAGATCCTGAGGCATGGCCATGAAACACTCCGGCACTTGCGAGTCCTTGCCGGGCTGGGCCGGTTGCCCTTCTTCGGCCCCCTCTGTCACGTTGTGTTCCGGAGCGAGAGCAGGCATCGCTGGGCACGGTACGGGCAAGCTGAGCCGAGAGCCGCTGCTTCCCACCTTCGCTACTTCACTGCAGCTCTCTCTGCTTCGTGACCAGCATCGCCCGCAGACCGAGCTCCGAGCCCATGATCACTCGACTCCTCTCTGACAGATCAGTTAATGATTTACCTCCAGGCATACCGGACCCCTCAAGCACAACGATGGCATAGATAATTAACCACGCTGACATCCTCCCGGCCCATCCACAACGGATATTCAATCCCAGCGTGGAGATCATCCTTGTGACACAGACAGGGATTTGTGTGATTCCAACCGATGATCCACTGTGGAGTGGGGGCAGAAACTGAACCGGCTATTGATTGTAACCATTCGCTTTGAAGTAGCATACTTTAAGAAGCACTAGGTAGAAATACCTGGGAGAGCACACTTTAACAAATATATAGGTATGATTGCAGAAGTATTCATTTCCAAAGATACTCCATTCGCGCCTCCCACATTCGACCATCCTCAGATCTGACGCCATCGTAAAGCCTGATGCTTAACCCGCACCAGATCCCTTCACCCACCACCACTCTGTTGTTCCTGCTGAAGTAACGCCTGAACCTTAGAATTCTCATTCTCGTTTTCCAATGCCTTCATGACCTCCCTCTTCCTGAGCTCTGTTATGTGGCCTGCAGCCCTGCCAGAAATCTGTAAAGGTTTAATAATGGACCAAGGGGCAACCCTGATTTTATTCACCACTGTCATGAATTCCACATATAACACCTTCTCTGGCAATACTCCTTCCAAATTACATATCTCCTCATCTCTTACCGTCAAAGATTGGCTTGCTCCCTTATCTATTAAAATTTTAATTTCTTTACTTACTCCTCCTGATACACATGAGTAAACCTTACCAATACAGGCAAATTCTTTAAAGAGATCTGGTACTCTCTTATTAGCCAACCCCTGACCAGGCTGTACATTCTTTTGCAGCTCTTTAGCTTCCACCGGGATCCTCTTTACCAGTTCAATGATACTGACTTATCCCATTTTTCTATATCCATCTTCCCAGTGCTTTTTAAACCACCAACACTGTGACTTCGCATGGCCTATTTTATTACAGTAAAAACTCCTGAGCTTTTTTACTTCTCTTGCTACCTCATGGGTTTCCTTTTTAAACTGAGGTAAACTATCTTTACTATGTTCAATGAGATCTACTGTTCCTTTACCACCTGAGGATTTCTTTTCCCAATTTCTTTCCCTCACAGATTGAAATTGATGTCAGAAGCCAAACTTTGATTTATGAACTAACTCATAATCATCTGCCATTTCCGCTGCTAAACTTTCTTAACTCTCTGGTCTTCCACATGAGTTCTCATTACTTCCGGAAGTGACTTTTTGAACTCTTCCAAAATAATTGTCTCTCTAAGAGCATCAGATTTCTGATCTATTTTCAATGCCCTTATCCACCTATTAAAATTACTTTGTTTGATCATTTCAAACTCTATGTACGTTTGACCATGTTCCCTCCTTGGTTTCTGATAACATTGTCTGTAGGCTTCTGGCACTAGCTCATATGCACTTAAGATGGCTTTTTTCATCTTCTCATGCTCCACAGATACCTCCTCTGATAGTGATGCAAATATCTCACTAGCTCTACCTGCCAACTTTGTTTGGATCAACAATACCCACATGGTCACCAGCCATTTCATTTGTTTAGCCACTTTCTCAAATGAAAAGAAAAATTCTTCTATGTCCTTCTCATTGAGTTTAGGCAACTTTTGGACATATTTAAACAACTCCCCACCACCCCTTTGGCTACAGTGGGGTTGCTCTTCATCATTGTCCTCATCACTACTCCTACCTTTCACCTCTGCCTCCACCATTTTAAGGCGACTTTCAGTTTTCAGTTGCAACTTTTGAAGTTCAAAAACTCTCTCCCTTTCTTCTCTCTGTTTTTTTCTGCTTTCAATTGTAATTTAAACTGTTTCATTTCCTTTTCATATTCAAGCTGCCTTCATTTGCAAAACAAAAACTAAAAGAACTGCAGATGCTGTAAATCAGAAACAAAAACAGAAGTTGGTGGAAAAGCTCAACAGATCTGGCAGCATCTGTGAAGAGAAATCAGAGTCAATGTTTCGGGCCTGGTGACCCTTCCTCAGGTTCATTTACAATTGAATTTTAGCTATTTCCAAATATTCCAATTCCATTCCTGGCAATTGGAAGTGTGGAGCTATTGCCACAATTATTTCCCCTTTCCTAACAGACACAGGCAACTCCACCTTCAACTTGTTTGCCCGTTCCAAAAGTTTTGCCTTGCTCACTTTCTGTAAAACTCACGAAGTGACGGCTCCCACCCCCAGGAAACCCTTAGTGACTGAAAGAGCCATTACTACACAAGGCACACCCTGTTTAAATCAACTGAATACAACACCTGAAAAAAAAACAATGCTCACCACTCATTGTCTTTGAGTCAAATAATCTAATCTGAACCTGGAATTAGAGATTTTGATTCTGAAAAGAGCCCCAATTTGTCATAGACCAGAACAATACCCCTCAAATATATCAAGGAGGTAGCCTAGATCCTAACTTCTTCCTTATTTTAAGACAAGTATAAGTTGCTGGGTTACAGATGTAATTTGATCAATTACACTACTCGGTTTTAAGCAAAACACACTTTATTCTTACCATATAGTTAAAATAAAACCAAAAGAAAGAAGAATTAGAATGACTTAGCTCTATTGGAAAACTTAACATAATGATAATTTTTTTCACTACTAAACAGCAACTGTTCCAATATAGTAACATCCCATAAACACACCCTTGGCAAAGGCAAATTTAGTGAAATCGATCGTCTCACATGCAATGTTTCTCCAGTCCAGGAGGAAAGAACATCAAGAGAAAATTCTGATAGAGGGAACTCCAGCTTTTAGCTGCAACAGAGAGAAAGACAGTTTTCACAGCCAGCTTCAAAACCCCAGTAATTCCTGAAAGCTAAACTAAACCTCGGTTCTGTGGGAGCCCAACTCCACCCATTCATGCTGCTTCTATTGTTCCAATTTAAAAAAATACCAAAGGTCTCACAAGCTGTTTACTTAATTGGTTTGGAACAGGCTGCTCAGTACCTCTGGCTCAACTGTCATAAAAAAAGGACAAAACATACCTATTAAAGCAGTATATCATCACATGGGGGTAGAGATGAATATGGATGCGTACAATCAGGTCAGCAATGATCTTATTGAATGGCAGAATGGGCTCAAGGGACCAAGCAGCCAACTCCTGCTCCTAATTTGTATGTTTCTATGTTCATGTTATGATTTACTCAAGTGACTACTCCTAGTACCTTGTGGTATTTTCCATCTTTACCAGTATGTGATACTAGGTAAGGATTGTATGAGGTCGCTTACTGTCACCACTCTTCCTTTGACTCTGGTTTGTCTTGGATCTATCTAAGACCATAAGACATAGGAGCAGAAATTAGGCCATTTGGACAATCGAGTCTGCTCCACCATTCAATCATGGAAATTCAATCTAGAAATTCATGTTAGAGGATGTACCACAATAGAGTATCTATAAAAGAAGCTGTGTTTTTATGTAGCAAGAGGAAATATTGTACAGTATCAAGAAGTACAACTACATTGGTAAAACATATTATTAGGATTTTAGGGAGCTGGTACAGGTACATCTAATCCCTTCAAAAGCTGGAGCACAACTTTTTGTTCCACCCACAGGCTGTGTCTGATATCAAGAAATGGATGGAGCTAATGTACCATGAATATGAACCACTACAGAGCATCCTACACTACACGTATGTTTTAACTTTATTGTCTCATTCAGTGTGCTTTTGAAGAGTGATGGTAAAATATTACGATGTGGGTTGTTATCTTGTCTGAAGCCTGTAATTTCACCACACAATGTCTATTTTATGCAAAACTCATTGACTCTAACGTTGACTTAAAATTAAAATAAAATTTTGCACCAGTGTACATACTTTTGATTTGTAATAAGTTTAGTGTCATTTCCATTTTTCCCTGTGACAACAAAATATGAATGATATTTGAAATAAAGAAGAAAACATCCTGGAATCTGTAGGCAGGTTGATCAACTTCTGAAAAATGAATGTAAGCTAATAACATACAGAGACAAATCTTGATCAGAATAAGCTAAAATTATTCTGCTTGAAGTTTTAGCAAGTGGGAATGATAATGATACCAATTGACAAAATTTACACATTAAGTGTCATTCCACAGAATTACTTCAATCTGACAGTATCTAACACCGGCTTTACTGAATATCTGAGAGGTTATTAAAGGTTAACTTTAACAGGAAATAGCTCTCGAGTGGATTGGATTGAATTACCGTCGTGGATTGATGTTAAGGCTGTAGTGACAGGTTTGTGTAAATTCGTGCCTGCATTGTCTAAACAGAGTCTGTGATGAACCCATCAGACAGAAACAGATTAACAGCAGTGTTAAAATAGTGAAGATAGGGATTTATAAGAACATTAACTGGGCATTAAAATAAAGGAGAGTGTTAAAGCTTTTATTGTGCAAAGCTGTCAGTCTGACTGTTGGCGCAGCACACTGACTGTGGATTGATTTTGCCATTCACCTTGTGTCTTTACATTTGATGTCGTGAACAATATGTAAAAAGGACTTTCAACGTAATTTCGATACGCATGTTTGAAAATAAGCTGATGTGCGTTTTTAATTCTCAGTTGTTGCTTTGATTTCCTTCCTTGTTTTTGCACTGTGGAAAGATCAAATAATTTGAGAGCGGTAAGTTGGGTTCAGTGCTAATGAAAGTGGCTTTTGGGGATGGAATTGCTTACATAGAGGAGTAAGTACTACTCACTGAAATATAAGCAAACCAGTGGAGAATTTTGAACTAACAAGCAGAACAGGCATAGACTCGTAATTCATTTGCTGCTGGCTGAGTCAGAATTACCTAATACTCTCTTCAAAAGTACCATCTCTTCATTTCTAATTCCATTTTTCACAAAGAGAACAACAGCAGCAAATTTGAAGAAATTAAAAATA